CTACTGAAAGGCAAATTTGAGGTGCCATACAACTATAGCAAAATAGTGAGTGAACCAGGCAATTTTAGACTCACCAATGCAGAGAAAGTTTATTCTACAGAGATTGAAGTTTTCATTTAAGATAGGTAACATCTCCAATATGAGAAAATAAGCTGACAAAACAAACCTCAAAATCATGCAACACGCAAAACTGTTCATCACACCATTTTGATTTAATGAATGAAAGCATATATGTTGTTTCACAAGGTAATTTCTCGATATAAGGTAAGTAAAGCAAAAATATTTTACGGAAATATTTACAGCGAAAATTATAAATTTCAAAAGAACACAAACAAAATTACTGGTATGTCTTCTAAAGTGTTTTTTTTAACCGAGACAAAAGAGCGTTCATTGTTCGAGACGTTTGAATTTCGCGCCACGTCAGGCTTCGGTGTTATGATTTTTGAAACAGTCCAAGCAGAACCTCTCGCCACATGAATCGCATCCCATTCGACAGAACGTTGTCTTTTTTCTTTTCAAGCATCTCTTGCACCTTCCCTTGCTCATTTTTACGGGCCAATGTCCAGTCTGAACAGTTCCTTCTTGAACGGCATGTTGACGGGATGAGAAGTCGCCGATCAGCATCTTCACCATTTCGATGCGAAACTGAAGTTGCGTGAAGTTCGGATGGTTATCCGCAATTTGCATTAAAATATGTGCATTCACAATGCTTACATCTAGGCAAAACCACAACAGATACCGCCACCATTTATTTGCTCGTCTTGACGTATCGTAATATTGCCGCATCTGATCGCTATGATCTACTCCTCCCATGTACTGGTTGTAGAGTTTTACCACTGGGAGAGAAGGAACTTCGATGTAAGTTCCATCCTTCTGCTTTCTGCGAACAGTTTCGTTTCCCCTTGCATTGCATTGAGTACTTATGAAAGCCACGGCTTTTTTGTCTTTCCAAACGGATGCGACAATGTTCCCTTTCCGACGAAAGAGAGATTCGCCACGACGGAGCGCTTTCACTTCGGGCTTCTTAGCTTTTAAATCTTTGGGAAAGTCAGTTCTATTGGCACGTGTTGTTCCACAAAGATAGAGTTTGTTGGACAGTAAATCTTCAGCCAGTCGAACTGAAGTGAAAAAATTATCACAAAAGATGTGATAATTTTTCCCCTTCAGATCGTTGACAAGGTCGCAAACAACACGATGTCCAAGACCGTGTTCAGGCTGGCCACCATCTTTTTTGCCTGTGTATACTTGCATGGCGCTCACAAAACCATTCGTTGCATCAGCACGCACCCATACTTTAATGCCCCGTTTCACGGGCTTCATGGGCATGTACTGTTTGAAGCCAAGTCTTCCTTTGTACTTGACCATT